GTATATTTTCTTATTTTGGAAGTGTCTAGTCCATCCCCCTGCTCAAGCAGCAAACCTTATACCAGTGATGGCGAACCTTTTAGAGACTGAGTGCCCAAACTGCAACCCAAAATCCACTTATGCATCGTCGGGTGCTGGGTGGGTGTGGCCCATTGGCTTGGTGTGGCTGTGGTAGTAGGAAACACAATGGGTCCAAAGTCTTTTTATAGGGCTGGAATTTTAATTGAAAAACACAAAATGTTCGTCAAATAATTTATTGTCGGTTTTGTCACCAGAGAAACTGTCTAAACATTTCAAACCTTTGCTGAAAATGAAAACAAAATGAAGGGATTATATTATCATATTCATTGAACATTTAAACAGTTAAAACATTATGGAGGCAAATACATACACCAACCCAGAAGATTTTAAAGTTTCCTTTAATGGATCTCAAAAGAATTTAATTTCTCAAGGCACCAAAATCCTTCCCTGGAAGCCTTATCTGGCTTTATGACAGATAACATAGAGCAAACAAAACATTTTGAATAATACGAAGAGAATTATTTATCATTCTGTTTCAAATAAGAGGGTGTATTTGGTCACAATGTGACTCAAATTTGATTTTGTGAGTTGAGTGGTCCAACTATTCTAGTGACCCAATGTTCCTTGACGTTTAGCTGCCATTTATTTTCCATAAAACAAAAAAAAAAGGTTAAGGAGGCTATCTTGTAGTAAAGATTCTAAGTCTGATGTGCTAGCCTTTTTATATGTTCTCTAATAAATAAATTAGTTTCATCTCTATTACCTTCAATCATTTTGAGAAGGGCTGAAATTTTTCACTCTTTTCTGTTAGTTAATGTGCACCATTCCTATTATCTCATAAAAAATATGGTCCCAACCCTTTTCTTAGGACTGGAATTTTAATTACAAAATGCACATGGAAGTGATGTTTACAGAAGTGTGCTTGTCAATGAGCTGAGGGGCTCTTTTATCCCAACAGATATGTAAATTGAGGCACAATTTCCCCTTTAAAGGAGCCCCATGGTTTCCCTTTTCAGACAACACCCAGAATCATAAACCTTGTAATATTTCCTGAATCCTCTCCTATCGCTTCCCTCCATTCATTAGAGCAATCAAAAATGTTACTAAACCTTGTGTCCTTACTAGTAGTCCTCAAAGGTAATGATTTCCACTATATATTTTATTTCCAAATTCTGCTCTTAGATGCAGGAGATCTCATTAAAAAATATTCCTTTTAGGAGTCCAGTCTCAAGTGCAGTTGGTGGAGTCTGGAGGAGATGTGCGAAGACCTGGAGGGTCCCTCCGTCTCTCCTGCCAAGCTTCTGGATTTGATTTCAGCAGCTACTGGATGAGCTGGGTGAGACAGGCTCCTGGAAAAGGACTGGAATGGGTTGCAAGCATGGGTACATCTAGCACTTACTACTCAGACAAAGTGAAGGGACGCTTCACCATCTTTAGGGATGATGCCAAAAGCCAGCTGTATCTGCAAATGAACAGTCTCAAAGCTGAAGACATGGCAATCTATTACTGTGCGAGAGCCACAGTGAAAGGAAGTGAATCTGAAGCCAAACAAGAACCTTCCTTTCTTCAGAGCACTCTTCAACTTGACTGGATTAGTCAATGAGGATTGATCTCTGTCTAGAGAGAACTTCAGGATGTTTTATTCTGGGTATCAGAGAGTTTGCTGTATGAAAATATAAGATGATGAAAATGGCTTGAAAATCCCAGTTTCATCGTCTCTGTTTACAAGGTGATTTATGTTCTGAAAAAAACATGGAATGGAATATTGTCCTTTAGTATCATGTCAGAAGCCTGGATATGAAACTTCAGAGTAAATCTTCTAAATATCCAAACTGCTGTGGGAAGTCAGCCCTCCAGAGAAGGAAATATTAAACGGGCAGAAAAATATATTTTCTCAAAGAATCTTAAAGAGACAGAAAAGCATGCTCAATTTTTCTTAATAGCCCCATTCTGCCTCCCCGAAACCAAAACCAGCTCTGTACAAATGCAGATGTAAATCCAGGGAGCTAGGAGATTAAGAAGACAAAGACCTAAAATCTGCATACCCCATCCAAACTCTAAGAGTCATCAGCCCCAGCCCCAGGGAAGCAGGATATGACCTTTGGACATAATAGGATTAACCCATCACCATCAGAATACCAGAAAGGTGCACTCAGACTCAGGTCAAAGTTCATGGCAAAGGAACAACTCCAAACAAGAGCCTTCAGAGGGTATAAAAGCCTACTCCCTACATGTGTTCAGCCCTTTTTCTCTCCTCTTTGCTGCCAGAACCATCTTCCTGTCTGGCTCTCCTCTCCAATAAACTACAACCTTCTTCCCAAAACAATTGCCATGTTTATTCCCAGCTTGGATGAACCAGGATAAAGACTTTTCTTCCAACACTGCCATTCTCATATTGAGGAAATACCTTCACCAAAAATAAATAAATAAATAAAAAAAATCCTTGGAGAATTAGGAATACGCTTCCCCTCATCATTTTTGACACTAGGGGGCAATGTTGTAACATAAAATCCCACTGTGGATGCATGTGGTGGGGAATAAAACAAATGTCCTTAGATATTGTCTCATTGTGAAGGACTGATAATTATGTATGTATGTATGTATGTATGTATGTATGTATGTATGTATGTATGTATGTATTTATTTATTTATTTATCTATCTATTTATTTATTTATTTATTCACTGAAAAGTTCTCAAGAAAATTTCACATCTCAGTCTTCACAGTGACATTTATATTATATATAAAATGGTGGATTGTTGGTTTTGGTCACCAGAGAAACTGTCTAGATATTTCAAAATCTTTGTTGGAAATAAAAACAAAATGAAGGAATTATATTATCATATTTAGCGAACATATAAAACAGCTTTGGAGACCGGATATTTTTATTTTATTCTATTTCTATAATAATTCCTTGAAACATGCCCAAGAAAATTGTAGGAGTACTCAGTGTGAAACTGAGAAATGTTATTGAAAGATTTTGCATTTAAGTCACCAGAAAAAACTTATCTAGGTATTTCAAACCATGGCCTGGAAGTGGAAACAAAATGAAAGGATCATATTATCATATTTAGTGATCATATAAAACAGTTAAAACATTATAGATACTAATACATACACCAGTCAAGAAGATTTTAAGTTTCTCTCAATGGATCTGAAAAGAATTTAATTTCTCAAGGCACCAAAATCCTTACTGAAAAGCCCTATCTGGTTTTATGACAGATATCCTAGAGCAAAGAAAATACATATATTTTGGATAATACTAAGATAATTATTTATCATTCTTTTTCAAATAAGGGGATGTATTTGACACTATATGATTTAAGTTCTACTTTGTGAGTTGAGCTAACTAGTCTAGCTGAAACAGTATTCCTTCCAGTTCAGCTGCCATTTAATGTATTTGGGATTTTCCATAAAATAAACAAATAAGAAAGTTCATTTGGTGTATTTTTCAGGCTTTTCTTTTATTTATTTATTTATTTTACACAATAAATTTGCCCTTTCACCTATTAATTCACAGAAAAAATAAATGGCTCCCAATCCTTTTCTTAGGGGTGCAATGTTAATTACGAAATGCAAATGCAAGTGATGTTCACAGAAGTGTGTTTGTCAAAGGCTCTTTTATCCCAACAGATATGTAAATCAAGGCACCATTTCCCCTTTAAAGGAACCTCGTGGTTTCCCTCTTCAGACAACACCCAGGAACATAAACCTTGTGCTATTTTCTCTCTTGTCAATTCCCTCCATTCACTTAGTGAAAATGTGGCTCAACCTTGTGTCCTTACTAGTCGTCCTCAAAGGTAATTATTTCCCCCATATACAGTTTATTTCCATGTTCTGCTCTTCTAAGCAGGAGATCTCATTTAATATATATATATATATTCTTTTTAGGAGTCCAGTCTCAAGTACAGTTGGTGGAGTCTGGAGGAGATGTGAGAAGACCTGGGCAGTCCCTCCGTCTCTCCTGCCAAGCCTCTGGATTTGATTTCAGCAGCTACTATATGAGCTGGGTGAGACAGGCTCCAGGGAAAGGCCTGGAATGGGTGGCACAGATAAGCCACACTTCTGGTACTATTCGCTACTCAGAGAAAGTGAAGGGACGCTTCGCCATCTCCAGGGACAATGCCAAAAGCCAGCTCTATCTGCAAATGAACAGCCTCAAAGCTGAAGACACAGCAATTTATTACTGTACAGGAGACA